TTCAGCAATATAAGGAAACAGTGTGTGAATTCTTTTAGGATGAAAAACACTAGGCAATTAACTTTCCCAAATCCACATATTTTGTTATGAATTTATTGATTATTAATTTCTTATTTATTAGCCTATTGCTGGGGTATATCTCATTCACATTAAACCATCCAGGACTCCTTTCTCCTTTATTCAGCCAGTAATAATTGCCCATTTTTATGGTATTATTGGAAAATTTTATCAAAAGGGATCTTAAACTGAATGCAATGCCAGATTTCTACTGGGATTTTGCCTTTGAGAAACGACTTGAGAAATAAATATTCCCTTTTTGTTTATCAGTCACTCCTAATTATATTGGCAGCAGTAGTTTCTTGGTATAATAAAAATGGTCAAAGTTAATATCAGAAGGATTCTTAAGCTGTCTTGATAGCACTTTGTCTCCTATCACTAGATTTATGACGTAACTACCACGATGTATTAATTAACTGACATTAAAATAGTCCATAGGTATGAGCCACAATCACCGTGGGGATGCAGGAGCTCACACTTGGAAAGATAAGCTCCTACATCTAAATGTCAGCTCCATAGAAAAGCCAATGTGAAGCTTTCAGACAAAACAAAAACCAATTGTATTGTATTTTTAAAGGCTTACCATGTCACTTGACAGAAAGTAGGCTGAGAAGTGTGAGGAAACCTTCCACAGCAATCTCACAGTCTTGGTTGTGAGGCAGAACCAAACCAACTTGTAAAGACTTAAAGCTACAGGTTAGGATCAGTTAGTTCTTACAAGGTACCAGTCTCCACTTTAATATTTTTCTAAAGATTTTGCATTCTAATCACTAACTACATTTGTAGACTCAACTATCCCTTAAGATTTATATTCCAATCAGTTAATTACTGTAACAAATATTTAATCATTAAAACAATAATGTATCTAGCTCAGTGCTCTGTATTAAATTAAAGGAAATAAAAGGATGTGGTACTTCTATAATATTCTGAAATGAAAAAATGACCATAATACACTAAGTAGGAAAAAGCAGGTTATATATAAAATAGTCTTTTTTAAAAAATTATATGTGTGTATATATATGTATTAAATATATATGCACAGAAAGGAGTCTGACAGTATATACAATAATTGATGGTGGGTGAAGGAGAAAGGAAAAGAGGCTTAACAGCCAATTCCTCTTTCTACTTGTTTGTCTTAACTCTTGGATTTTTTTAAACAATAATTATGTATTACTTTTATAATCAGAAAAAACAACAAAACAACCCTAATTTCCACTTAGAAAGATCATCTAATAGAATGAAACCTCCTTGCTTGCTGAATTGAAAAGAATAATCTAAGGCTGCGGTCCCCAACCCCTGGGCCACGGACTGGTACTGGTCCGTGGCCTATTAGGAACGAGGCCACACAGCAGGAGGTGAGCAGTGGGCCAGTGAGCGAAGCTTCATCTGTATTTACAGCTGTTCCCCATTGCTTACATCACTGCATAAGCTCTGTGTCCTGTCAGATCAGTAATGACATTAGATTCTCATAGGAGCACGAACCCTGCTATAGATTGCACATACAAGGGATCTAGGTTGCCCGCTCCTTATGAGAATCTAATGCCTGATGATCTGCGGTGGAGCCGAGGCAGTGATGCTAATGCTGGGGAGTGGCTGCAAATACAGATCATCATTAGCAGGGAGGTTTGACTGCACAATAAATGTAATGTGCTTGAATCATCCCAAAACCATCCCCCAAACCCAAAGTCCACGGAAAAATTGTCTTCCATGAAACCAGACCCTGGGGACAAAAAGGTTGGAAACTGCTGATCTAAGAGCAAATGGAACATATGTAAAGAGAATAGTCATACAAGAATGCAGGCATTCATTGCCAATGGCACAGTCAGTAAAGCTGTGGGCATTTGCAATGTGGAGGGCTGGAAAGGCTGGGGCAGTTGAGGAGCATGTGCTAGGAAGGGTGAAACTGCATTATAAAAGGAAAAGAGGTGTTGCAATGATGGGAGCCTAAAAGAGGAAAATCAGCAATGCTCCATTCCTCAATGCATTTGGACTGACTGTCTCCTTTGCCTGGAACATTCTTCCATCAAATATCCATGTGGCTCATGCCCTAGCTTTCTTCATGTCTTTGCTCATATGGCAGCTTCTAGGTGGGCCTACCCAACTTAGCACTCTCTCTGAAACTTCAAAAGCTGCCCTACCACATTCCTTATCTCCCTTCCTCTGTTCTATTTCTTTTCTCCATAGCACTTATCACCTTCTAACCTCTTATACATTAACTTATTCATCATAATTATGGTTTGTCTCCTACCACTACAGAGTAAGCTTCTTAAGGCCATTGATTTTTCTCTGTTTTGTTTTATTATTCTATCTCCAGCAACCAAGACTGTGCCTATTGTTGTTTGTAATATTATTATTATTATCATCATTAGTAGTAGTAGTAGTTTTACTTTATCATTGTAGTCCCTCCCATTCTTCAAGGCACAATTCAGGTTCAATAAATAGTTGTTGCATGAATGAATCAATTGCTAAGGCTTAATTGAGGACATATGTACTATGTGCATAAGTGTTTCATGTTTCTTTGTTTATTTAAGGCATTGCTGCACATTTCCTTCCCTCCTCACCCTTACCTCTTCCATTACATTGCTCTTTACCATCTCTTTTATGTTTTTTTTCCTTGCTTTTCCACTGGAAATTTTGAAAAAATCCTTTATTTTCCTATTTGTCATTATTAACTACTTTTAGATTGTTACTTTTACATTCGACACCCATTCACCAACCCTTTATACCTGCTTCAAACACACAAATACACACCCCCACCTTTACCACCACCTTCATCTTCCGCACCATCACCACCATCATCACCCCCCCACCACCATTACCACCACCATCACCCACTCCGCCAGCACCACCGTCTTCATCTTCACCACCATCTTCACCACCACTACCATCTTCATCATCACCATCACCACCCCCACCGTCATTGCTACCATCACCATCCCCACTATCACTACCACTATCACCACCATCACCGTAACCACCTCGACCACTACCATCACCACCCCCACTCCCACCACCACCACTACCGTCTCTACCACCACCATCTCCACCACCACCAGCACCACTACCATCTCCGTCACCACCTCTGCTTCCACCACTATCACCACCATCTCCACCACTACCATCCTCACCATCTCCACCACCACTGTTACCACCCCCAACCCATCACCATCACCACCACCACCACCACCATCATCACCATCACCACCATCAACAACATCAAGAGTGAAGGGAAACCATATTTCTGACCAGGCATAGCAGGCTTAAAATCTTAGCTTTAAAGACTAGATGATTTAAAGGAGAACCCTAAAACATGGATTAGACTTAAATCAGTAAGTGTAATTTTACATTCACTTAGTTGGTTTCTCTTAGTTCAAATGAAATAATAGGAGTCCCTAATGAAGGTTTTATCATCCTTTTGAAGTTGAAAAGGAATTAGAAGAAAAGGAAGCTGAGAAAAAAGCAGCAGCTTCTCTGGCTGAGCCTCCACCTCCTGCTCCTCCTCCCCCTCCTCTTGAATCAGAAAAAGAGAAGGAAATTCATCCTCAGCATGAGCCTTCAAAAACTCCTATTGCAAAAGGAAAACCACAATCAGGTGATTGACAGTATGATTTATAACCCTGTTTGCCAGTTTCTTATTTTTACTTAGTAAAGAATTATAAATTATAGTCTGTTTATGTAGATTCAGACTCTGGGAAACTTTAATCATATGAAACATAGCTCTACACTCAGATGAAAGTGGAAAAACCCTCTTAGTACCTAAGAAAGTAGTTGTTACAAAGCCCGGCTTCTTTACTGTGTAGGAGAGACCATGGAATCATAACACTCAGATCTGCTGATTAGAATAAGACCACAGATGAGAAGAGGAAAGACAAGGAATAACAAAAAGTAACTTAGGGCAGATCAAGAGGACAGATGTCTGCTGAACTGTAGAGTTA